AATTGATAATTTTCGACAAAATTCTAACCGATTTTAATTGGACGGGAAAAAAATGGTCCCAAACGTGTGCCGACTGCAATTGGTCGGAAATTTCTAACCGAAATCGGTCGGAAATTTCAACATGTTGACTGTCAAATCTCATATTCCAACCGAGATCGGACGAAAATTATTTTAAAAAAATAATTTTCAAATTTCCGACCAAATTCAGTGGGAAATTATGAATTTCTGGGGGAAAAAATTAATTTCCAACCGATTTCGGTCAGAAATCTGGGTAAAAACTAGGCAGAAAATGCCTGCTTTTAAGCTACACCACCTGCCAATTTAAACCAATCATCCTATAATGGCAGCATACATTGCTGCCATTCAACCATAATTTGAAAACCCAACAAAATAACAACTAATAACCAACAACAACAACAACAAATAACCAACAATAACAACTAATAACAACTACAACAACCAATAACCACAACAACAACTACTAAAATGTTCAATAACAAAATAATAATAATATAATCATCATTCAAATAACCAACAACAAAATATTGACAAGTTCAAAACTTTGTTTAACAATACACAACATTCAATGAGTTTTTTATGTAGCATTATCTCCATCTTCACTCCTAGGACCTTCATTGTCGGCACGTGGGGAAGGAGGAGGAGACCGGAAAATGGGGAAAGCACCACTAGCAAGAAGATTGGCCAGCTGACCTTGAAGGAGATCAAATTATTCGGTCCTCCTCTCTAAATGTACTTGAAGGGTATCAAATTTTTCGTCACTTCTTTCTAGCTGAACTTGAAGGGTATCAAATCTCTTCTTTTCTCTAGCCTTGGTCTCTTCAAGCTCTACTGTCAGCTTTGCGATCTTCTGTTCCATAGACGATATAGTCGAACTATCAATCGTCTCGCCTTAGGCAGAAGTCCCTATACCTTGCAATCCAGCCTTGTAGTGCTGAAACGATTTATCTGAAAGGTCGTATGCTATCTCCTTTTTAGGACCACCGACAATATCCAACCATATCCTCTCCGCTTCTTCGTCTGAAATGGGTGGTCACTCGCCTTGCTCATTCGGTGGCAAGCTTTGAGTGTACTCCTCCAAATTGATCTTGTAGCAACCCTTTATTTAGAAGATAGAAAATTACTAACTATATAATATTATAAACATTTATAGTAGTTATAAAACTTACATGTGTAGTCTCCGCCCGATCCTCGACCCATCTAGTTGGATCTGTCGGTGCCTTCTTCTTGTGAATGTGAGTCTCCATGAAGAACTCATCATGACTCATTTCCCTCCTCAATTTTTTTCCTTCAAATATAATAAAACGTGTTAACGAAATTAACATATATAAATATAGTTCGATAAAAATAGACCGAAATATTCATTGTCCGGATATGTTGGATTTTAAAGGCCAAAACATTCACTCTCATATAATATTAGTCTTACATCTGTTCAATAAAACTTATTTTTTACTTTGGCAATTATATATTCTTTTATCACATGACACTCTAGTGACACTTCTATATTTCAATGTATTTAGCTATTTTAATTTTATGTGTAAAACCTTCTTCTATCATACTGCTAACAAGCCAAGACATTTAAATTTTTGTGCATTTAGGCATTTCCCATCTAGTCTCACCTTAGCTTTACTCTTCCTATATTTAAGCTAAATACATGGTTAATCGATAAATGTATTACGGTCAGTTTCTCATGCATTGTTAGATTTCAGCTATAACTTGTTAGGAGAAGTACTGTCAATTTCATAATATATAAGCAGATGCTACGCGTAGAGAAGTTCAATTAAATCTTTGGAACGTTTTTTATAAGATTGTTGAATCTTAATTACTATAATTAATAGCAGAAAACTGAAATATGTAAATAGAATCCATAAGACACCAAAATGCATGGAGTGTTTTATATGATTTTGCTGCTTCGTCACAAAAATTTTGTTCCCATAATGTTGATAACACTATGTTGATATAAAGTCAATTGGACCGAATTTTATGATTAATTTGAAAAAGAAAAACTGGGAGATATAAAAATATAGTTCGATAAAAATAGACCGAAATATTTTAAGGAATTACCAGTTGTCTCCTCGTATCCCCCATGCTTCTTGAACCCAGACAGTGCAAAGAGTCACCCTTATCAGATGCTCGGGCCTTCTTTCCCAGTTCACTCTGCTTCTTGAATTTTTGGTGGTCCAATACCTCTGCAGATCCACCCATACATCCGGTAGAACCCATGAAGGCTTCTTTTTAACCCTTCGAGTGATGCTGAAGGAATCAGAGAGTATCTTACGGTATTTGTACTCCCAATTTTTACAAATTTCACGGTTATACCGGTCCTCCCAGGCACACTTAGTCTGCAAATAAAGTATGTAACGTTAGATGAAAATATTATTAATATATACAACGCTTAAATAGATAAGAATTGTATTAAAACCTTAAATTGGTTGAACATCTGTTGTACGAGACTCTCTGGAAAGTCACTCCAAGTCGGATAGGGTGTCAAATACAACGAGCCAAGAATATCAGTGATTATCTTTGTAACCCGATTTAGGAATAAACCTGCAACATAGCAATTACATTAAATAAACAAGAGTAGTTATTATAATTCAGCAAAATAAAGAAGTAATAAATAAATCTTACCCATTACCCTCAGGCTTGATGATCATCTTATGGTAATTATCATAACACACATCATCTGAATCATCATCCTCCGATGAATCTGAAGCATGCGCAGAAGGGGGGCGTCTGACTCAGTGCTACTATCCCAAAGACGAAGTCTAGAAATGCTAGGAGACGAACTCCGTGGAGAGGGAGACGGGGTCCTTGATGAAGATGGCTGTGATCCATATCCATACACCGATCTAGACCCCTGCTGTAATCCAGACCACTGCTGTGATCCGGCCGTCTGAAATCTAGATGGATGAGATCCAGCTGGAGATGAAGCAAATGGAGCAAATGATGGGCATACCACATGGCTCTGTGACTGGTGACTTGATGCACCCATGTAACTACTGATAGGATCATTAGGAGGAAGCGGGGTATAGCCCTATGGAGGAGAATTGTGATAACACTGTTGGGCGGTTGAGTGGTATGTAATATGATGAGCAGATGGATGTGGTAGAATAGATTTGTGCCTAGAAAATTGATGTCGACCATCAGCAGCAGATAGATACAAATGTGGAGTGGAAGGAAGCGAGAGTGTAGCACCATCATCATGATCGATAGGCCTTTTATCCTTCCTAGACCTACCTCGACCCCTACCGGCCATCTGCATAAATTAAAGAAAATGTTAGAATTGAGAATATATATACTACATTATACTATATATACTACATTGNATATATATATATTAAAAATTATTTATTTAAACCCTCTTTATTATTTACGCACATAAATATTATTAAATTTATATTTTAATTTGTATAAAAGCGTTTTTCTGACATAATTCGATCGGAAATATTGAATTATAATTATTTTGGTTGGCTAATTAAATATATATAATTTTTGTCTTGGGCAGAAAACAAGAAATATCAAACTTTCCGATCGAATTCGGTCGGAAATTTGAAAAAAAATTAATAAATAATTATTTTTTATATTATATAGAAGTATGACTAGTTTGACCAATTTTCGACCGAATTCGATCGAAAATTTGGTAAATTTTTAATAAATAATTATTTTTGTACATTATATACAGAGGCTGAATAATTGACCAATTTTCGACCGAATTCGGTTGGAAATTTGGTAAATGTTTAACAAAATAATTATTCTTGTTCATATGACCAAATAGTTGACTAATTTCAGACCGAATTTGGTCGGAAATTTGGTAAATTTTTAATAAATAATTATTTTTGTACATAATATGGAAGTATGACCAAATATTTGACCAATTTCCGACCGAAATCAGTCGAAAATTTTATTTTTTTGTTGGCAGGCAATTTTTGTTGACTTTTGCGACCAAATACTCTTATTTTCGACCGATTTCGGTCGGAAAGCCGTTGACGAAAATCACCTGATTTCTAGTAGTGCACTATTTTAAATTTTATATCATTTAAAAAAATCGTAAATATACTTCCATCTCCACTCTATTCTCCTCATCATTCACAAGGTTAAACTGAAGTAACAAAAGCCAACGAAGACATGGAAACAAAGATATATAGTAGATCAATGGATGATTTGAGTTTCTTCTTTGAATGATTTTTTTGTGCCATAAAAAACTAATATAAGACTTGTAAAAACTAATTAAGTTCACGTAGGTTGGTAGCAAAACTGGTTGCATAAATGAGTCACAGTCTAGGCAAAGTAATGAACAGTTAATTACCAAGATATTGTCGAATGTAACGCTAATTTTTGTCTGACAAAACTTATGAACAGTTGAACAACACGTATAAAATTTAAATATCCAATAAAACTTGTAAACAATTTAACGAGATAGGTAGAATGAAGATAATACTAAATTGTAAGCGCACGACAAAGCTTGTTAACTATTGACAAAATTATTAAAATTTCCCCATCCGGTAAACTTGTGACCAATTCAATAATACGAAGTTTTGGCTGCCCAACAAAATTTAAGAACAATTAAACAAGCGTTACATTTTCATTCTTCCAGCTATATAACACAGGCTATTTTGTAAAACTTTCTTAAACGGGGACAATATATAAACAGTGGCCTCAAATCATCCTATTTGTGCAAATCTTCCTATCAAGAAGCAACTAATAAAAGGGGAAAATGATATTGTATAACCGTTCTTAAAATAACAGTCAAAAATATATAAATATTGTATATTTTTTTATATATATACATTTTATATGTTATATACAAAAATTATACAAATTTTATATGTTTTTTTGGCTACCGAATGTAAATAATTTTTGGCGCGGGCTAAAGGTGAAAAAATCCCAACTAAAAATTGTCCTGCCGGGTCATTGTTCAGGCCCATAGTTTGGGCCATGGAGGTCCTAACGGTGAGGCTTTAATCGCCCAAAATAAATCTGACTCAATTTGAGAATTGATTTCCCTCCTTTCTCCGGTGGAAGAAATTGGGACAAAATGGCGGGAGAGCAGGTCGCCGCCGATGGCCTAACAACGAATTTCGCCGGAATGTCCAAAAAACAGCTTTACGACATTATGTGTCAGATGAAGGTATTTATTTATATGTATGTGTTCCTACGTATAGGCGTGATGAATATATATGTCCACATTAGAGATGAAATCGAGTTTAATTCTTTGTTCGCTTTAACTTTATTTGTTTTTCTCTTGCACGAGCTTCTTGATAAATTTGTGTTCAAATTTGTTACTGCTTTATTAATTTCTTTTTTATGCAGGGATTAATCGAACAGAACCAGCAACAAGCGAGGCAAATTCTCATTCAAAACCCTAACTTGACCAAAGCACTATTTCAGGTTTCACTTATTTTATATTCTAAGTCAACCTTCTAACCTGACTCATTTTGCGGCAAAGCATTGAGTATTGTTATCTTTTTTTTTTCTTCCTGCTGATGGAATGCTTAAGTTAAGGCTTTAAGGTTATTCAATTTATGTAAGTAATAGTCGTACTATAGATGTTATTTTAATTACAAAAGTATGAAACTTTTAGAGATATGATATGTTAAAAGTCGCTAAATAAAAGAATGAGAGTGTTCCTTCTCGAACAGCTTAAGCCTTTAGACTGTAGATTCTAGTATTCTTGTTAGAAGTGTAAAATAAAAGAATAAGAGAGAGAGATAAATAGAGATGCCATCATATGTTTGAACTGTAAATTCTTGTTTTATAGTCACCAATATGTATGATCACTACTCATAAAGGTTACATTGGAAAAGTACATGGATGTCATTCCAATCTATTGTCATGTTGGGATGCATGACAAAATCTCTTTGAAATATTCAAATGCCATGATTAAGAGACAGCTGCTATTTGCAAAAGGAACATAAATCACATAGTTAGTGCAATATGGATGAGAGTTTCACCGTTGCTGTCTCTCTCAGAAATCACAGTGTGTTACTTTGATATGGGTGAAAATTTAGGGCTTTGATGTAGTCTTCTATTGCGAGTGCATCACATGATTCCCAGATTAATTAGCTTTCAATCTTTGAGCTAAAAATCATTAAATTTGGAGTTCATCCGTTGATTTCTGATTCTCTGACTTTGGTTCCTTTAATGATGTGTTTATTAGGCACAAATTATGCTTGGGATGGTGCAGCCCCAACAAGCAGTAAGTTAGTTATAGCATCTTGAACATGTGAAGTATCTTTGTCCATATAAATATACGATTTGATGTAGTTACAGATCTCACTCCATTCTATCTTTAGATTCCGGCCATCCAACCGACAGGATCACCAAATCTACAGCCATCAGTGTCTCAACTTACAAAGTCAGATGGTCAGTCGGCTCCATCATTGCTAGGGAAAATTGGTATGCAGGATCAAACAAGAAAACAGCAGCAAAATCAATCTGTTCCAACACCGCCATCTCCTTCTCTTTCGTCATCAAACCTTCAAGCTCAGTCCCTACCGTCTCATCCGTCGCTGTCAGTGCGGCAATCAAAAGGACATATTGGTGGTCAATCAGTGCTAATCTCTTTACCACAATCCTCTCAAGTTGTTAACATGCCACCAGTTCCTCATCATTCTGCTTCACAGCTTCCATCTCATTTTCAAATGCAGATGCCTTCTGCATCCTCCCAATTGGAGCAACCAATGCATACTAGTGGTAGCCAACACCAGCATATGCAGCCACAGATGCCACCACAAGTGAGACCATCAATGCAACCCTACCCCCGTCCAATGCACCCTCACATGGGGTCCAATGTTGGTTTTCCGCCATCTGGAGTGCCTCCGCCACACCATTCACATCCTACTTTTCATGTAAGCAGAGGATGACTGTTCTACCTATACTGATCTGAGGGTTTTCCCCTTTTTCATACACAACATTCAATTTTTTTTTCTCTCATCATTCAGCCAACTATGAAGCCTCCAGCAAGCATGGGGCCTTCTTTTATGTCTGGGCAGCCACCAGTTCCAAGTCAGCTGCCATCCCAGCCGCCATATCAGGTGCCCTTGTCTTTATGCTCTACTTTAGTGAAACTAGTGAACTAGTTTTCATTTGGTGTTTTTGGTCATGTAAGCTTGAATCATTAGATTTCTTTCTCTGATAAAAGTTGTTCATAAGCATTAGGGCCTGCGCTACATTTTAAGTTCCACTGGAAAGAGGCCTTTCTTTCCATGGATGAGTCCTTGGTTCCTTGCCAAAATTTGCTCCATTTTTAAGATTTTTAACTTGTGGGATATATATGACAAAATGCAACACGTTGAACTAATGAGCTACTGGAAGAGATCTCATGACTATTATTCATTCATGTGGGAATTTGAAGTTGGATGAGTGCAAAGATTACGGAGATCTTGAAAAATAAAAGGATTTAAGAGGTCAAAATATGGCATAAATCATTACATTTTAAATGATGAAGTTGCTAATGTTATGATGATGAAATTAATGGACAGTTAAATTCTTTCAGTACCGACCTTCACTTACATCCCCAAGTCATTTCTTTTGTCCCTTTTAATCAATAAATGCATCCCTCAATCATTTCTTTTTCGTCCTCCATCTAAAATTAAGTATCCTGAGTTGACTCATGATCAAAGTTATATTTCTTTGACATCAACATATATTAAGTTATATTGTTGCAGTTGATACAATATTCAATAGTGCATGTACCACGCTCTATTGCTTGTCCATCATTATCTAATTGTAAACTTAGGTCAATTTAATCATCAGAATCTAATTATATTACTTTAGTCGGGATGGATAGAGTACATAATGATAATATTTCTGTGAAAACTGCTTTATCAAAAAAAATCAATAATAATTACGCCTTCTTTTCAATTGTATGCAACACATTGTCCTTTTTAATTTGTCCCAAAAGAATGATATCTTTATATATTTAGAAATAATTTAACTTTACACTTCCGGTTATATCCTTAATGAGATGATTTATAGCGATACAAATGTGTATGGATTGTTTTAGATCATAATTTTTAAAAGTGTTTTTTTCCTTTCTCTTTGTACCCTGTCAAACACCGTCACATAAAATGAGATGTAGGGAGTAATATTTTTGTGAGAACCTTGGAATCAATTTGAAAAGGAAACTTATACACAGCAACACACACATATATCAATGTAATTGAGAGACATCTATTACCACTAGGAAATTATTGGCGTTCAGTCTATATTATAATGCCTACTTTTAAAGATCTTTATACATCTTTGCATTTTAGAAACTTTAGCTACACTCATAGAATTATGTCGGCAGAAGCAAAGGACGACATGAAAAATATAAGGATTAGAAAAGTGTGTGATCCAAATGGCATCATTATGGAGGTTTAGTAGTGTTTTGGAGAGGTTGGAGTGGTATGGCTTACCAATCTATTTAATGCTTTACTACGAAGTGGTAAGATGCCCAACTATGGACAAAGAGTATGTTGATTGCTATGTACACGAGTAAAGGAGATTTTCAAAATAGTGCAAACTATCATAGCATTAAACTTATGAGCCATATGATGAAACTTTAGAAAAGAGTGATAATAGTGTAGACTTAAGTGCACTGCAAAGAGTGACAAAGAACCGGTTTGAATTTACACTTTGTAGATTTATAACATATGTTATATTTTTGCTAAGAAGATTGATGAAAATTTATCCGGAGAGGAAGAAAGATCTACATATGGTGTTCATAATCTAGAGAAACCCATAATAAAGTGCACGGAGAAGTCCTTTGGTGGTTAAGAAGAAGAAAGAACTTATATTTAATACATTCATGCCATAAAGGATACGTATGAAGGACTCGTCGCTTGCGTAAGAATGGTAAGAGATACAAAGAAGTTTCCGATAACTATGTGTTTACACCAGGGATCGGCATTGAGTTCATAGTCAATTTACCGTACTTATGCTATTTGCAGACAACATTGTCTAATTGACGAAACTAGTGAGGGTTATTGTGCTAATTGACGAAACTAGTGAGGGTGTCAACACAAAGCTTGACTGCGGAGAAGTACTTGGGACCGCTATAGTTTTTAGCTATGTTGCTCGGTCTCTTCAAAAATGCCATCGGGTGTGTGTCGGATCCACCAAAAGTAGTGCATATTGGGCTAGCATAAGAAGAATGAAGTTGAGGTCAAATTAGACGGGATTGCGGTGCCTAAATGCTAACAATTTGGATATATATGCTGAATGTTCTAAGAGAATGGTTTGATAGACGATGTTAATACACATAGAATCTGAATAAGGTTGTTAAATTGGAGAAGTGTTATCGAAGTGTTATGTGATAGAATGATTCCTACCAAAGTAATAAAAAAGTTCTATCAAACGATTGTTAAGACCAGCAATAATATTGTGCAAGTAAAGATCGGGCCTCTAAAGTCTAAAATATCCACAAGATATGTGTTACAAAATTGCAATTGTTAAGGTGGATTAAAAATGATCATGCCGAAGGTGCAGGTAACGCACTTAGTTGATAAAATAAGAAAAAGTCACTTGAGATTGTTCAGTCCAGTGTTTTTACAAGGGAAAAACGTTTTTAAAAAAGAAAAAAGCAACATGGTCTTTGGGACTTGAAGTGAAAAGCAAGAAGTGAAGTGCACGCTTTTTTTAAGTAAGCGTGAATTTTTTTTTTTTGAAAAAAATACCAAAAATATACTCCCTCCGTTTCAGTTTATGTGAACCCATTTGACTGGGCACGGAGTTTAAGAAAAGAGAAGACTTTTGAACTTGTGGTGTAAAATGAAGCACATATATTTTGTGTGGCTATAAATCATTGCATAAAGGTAAATTGTTTCCAAATAGGGAAAGAGGTCATTCTTTTTGGCACGGACTAAAAAGGAAATAGGTTCACATAAATTGAAACGGAGGGAGTATCAGTTTAGTACTATAATAATCAAATCACAATTACAATAACTAATATTCAACATCTAATATATAATGATGCTGATATTAAGCATGTGGCTTCAACTACAAAGCAATAACCCCTCGCAACGCTTATCACATTAAGCGACAAAGTGATGACTTCTAAGAAAATTGGTTTGATCATATACTACATCAACCTCCATTTACACTGGCATGTAGGTGTGAAACCATGGTGATTGGATGTGTTAAAAAGAATGAGGTATACCTAAAATCGCATACAGGAGAGTTGTCCCAGAGGACCTGCAATCTCCTGGAGTTCATGCACACCTAGAGAAAATATAGGGCATAATGAAGAAAAATATCTATATAGGCAATAGCAATTAGGTCGGATTAAGTTTGTTATGTTAGTAAATATAAAGAACTTTTAATGCTAAAGAAACTGAAATTTGTTAATGTTGAAACCGTCAGACTTAAATAAAACAACATGGACGGGAAGGTTCAAATAACTTAACTCGACTTGCTTGGGAATGTGGCGTGGTGGTAGTAGTTGTTGTATTTACTTTGTTCATCTTCATGCATTTAGAGTTGTCAATTGGAGACGGCTGCTGAAGACCTTTGGAATTTTCAGAGGATAATTACGAAGACCAAAGTATAATAATAACTGGTGTAGATAGGTTGGATAAACCATGCTATTATTGGACTTTGTGACTTATAAATTTATTTCTTGTTGTGATGCAATGTGTTCCTATACCAGACAAATTCTACCTAAGGACTAGGGATGGCAGTGGTGCGGTTGCGGGGCGGGTTTGGCTCAACACGCAAAAATTTCAAC